CAAGTAAAGCCAAAATTTGCTTATAAGCACTTATCACATCAAACCCTTGTGTTGTAATTTGTACATTATTCATATGTTAGTCACATATAGTGTACTCTAATACAAATGGGGGTTTGAAATATAATTAAATCTTAACTATAATAATAATAATAATGGGGCAGTCCTTGACTAAATTAAACGTAACGTTTATAATGAATACTTGAAAAAGCACCTTAGTGATTCAGTAACCACGTCATATTAAAAATATCCCCTATATCAATCTGGCTTGTCTTGGTCTACACACAATTCCTTGTTGGGATTTCCCTTACATTTTCACAAATACCCTGTTGTGTACTAAATGTTTGTATGGGTTGAATAAGGCTATTGCTATCTAATCAAATATAATATTATTTAAAACTTGTTTAGATTTTATTTATATTCAAAACATGTTTAGGCGTTTAATAATATGTTTTGATTAAAACTGTGTTTATATATAAATCAATGATAAAATTTGTGTCGGCCGAGCGGGCGGGCACTTACGAGTATATGGCACCCGAGCTGTTTCACACCGATGCCGTCCAACTCGACCGCTGCGATGTCTACTCTCTGGGCGTATCGCTGGCCAAATCGGTACTGGGAATGAGCGCACCCTCTGTACAACACTGGGTGTGTCAGTCACTGGTCACCCGTTACGGCGCCGGACACCCGTTGATTGAGTTACTCAACGATATGCTGGCCGACGAACCGACCCGCCGGCCCACCATTGACCAGGTGCTCGGCCATCCGTGGTGTGTATCACCTCAGGCGCAGCCTCAGGGTAGGGGGCCTTGAAATAGCACCCGTGCTTAACTAGACGTTTGTATTAGTTATGCTAATATAAAGTTTTATACCGGTTATTAGTGTCCATGTGTTTTGTGATTAATTTATCATGAGTAAAGTTCACATATTGTGCTCACAATTTGCGAAACCATTGCTTTCAATGCAAAGCACGTTCCCTCTCACTCCCCCTTCCCCGCCAAACCTCTGGTCATATCTGCGCCGATTACACCTCTGTTAAAGTTGTGATTTGTGTTGATTTAAACAAATTAGCGTTTTAATTAAACTAGCATTTTTATGACAACATTTTTAAAAACAATTATTTGAAAATTAATACATTTTTCAAAAAACAAACTTCAAATCAAAATTAAAAACACAGACAAACAAAACACTCGTTAAGCGCAAAAACACACCTAAACTTCACAACTCGAAGACAATACCCAAAACCAATGGCTGGATATTACAACTATCCCATACCGCACGGGCCATACCTGACGCCCACTGCCGTCACACATCCCGACACAAACATCAGATTCAGCATCATTAGGTTTTCTATATTAGGCATCTGGCAATGATTATAATGTATACACTTTAGGCCCTCTATTAATCAAATGTGCCAATAATAACTTTGGAAATATATCGTTCCACCAAAAGCTCTACTTGGTTTAGCCGCGAGTCTCTGGTGTCAAATGCCCGGTGCCTCAGCAGGGCCCGGAGCCGATAGTAACATAGGTGTGCTGCCGTTAATGATGAACAAACGCATCAAAAACAATATTCATTAATAAAATTTCAAATAAATATTTATTAATATTGTTTTTAAACAAATAACGTACTCGTAATAAAAGCCGGACTCATTGGCAACGGTGTCGTCGATAGCGCAGTACAGTGTGGTCTGTGCGCCCGTATGGGGTGCTATCAAAAATGCATATCTAATAAATCTACCAATAAAAGTATGGGCCGAGAGTGGGGTATATCGTTGCAGATCTGTGCGAACTGAGCCCGGGTTTAGACAGTAGGCCGTAATGTTGGTGCCGGTCAGTCGTTTGGCCAATTCCCTGGTGAACAGCACCTGGGCCAATTTGCTTTGCCCGTAGGCCATGATTGGCCCGTAGGCGCCGTTACGCAGGTTTATGTTATCGGTATGTATTGCGCCGATTATGTTCAGACTCGACGAGACGCTTACTATACGGGCCGACTCCGATTGGTTCAACAGCGGTAATAAGTGTATAGTTAGTAGAAAGTGACCTAGGTGTATTTATTAATTGTTAATTTGTACGCGACTACTAGTCTATGACTCATTAATAGTCTATGTGTTATTAAACGTTTAATATTGAAAGTAATTGTTGTGTGTTTATAGTATTTCCTAACCTAGGTGATTAGTGCCCAATTGCATCTCGTGGCCGTCGGCGGTCTGCCACTCGGGACACGCCATTACACCGGCGTTATTGATAAGTATATCCGCTTTGGTCTCCAATCGGGACAACTCTTCGGCACATTTGCGCACAGATGTCAGCGAAGATAAGTCCAGTTTCACGAGTTTTATGTCCGCCTTTGGATTCAGTGCCTGTATTTCGCTCACAGCTGTCATCCCTTTCCCGACGTCTCGACACCCGATATATACCTAAATAAAACATTTAAATTTTGCTAAAAATAATATTCACTGTAGTGTGAAATCGTGGGACGTTTGGCCACACTATGCGGTTAACTAATCCTGGCTTCCCTAAGGGTGAGCTGATGGACGGTCTCCTTACCGATGCCAGTGTTGGCTCCGGTAATGAACACAACCCGTCCGTTAAGACACTTATTACTAGTGACCCGACGCCTCCACTCAAACACATTGGTCACCGTTTCGTACATTGAGAGGCATAATAAACGCCACGCGTATATTAACATCATCATCACCATGGTCAAATTAATTGGTACTGTATTTTAATTATTTAATGCCGGTGAGTTTGGAATTTAATTCAAATACTGTATGCAGCAAATATGGTAAATTTTAATTAACATTATATACAGTATCTTATGAACTAATTTTACTTATAAACTTAAAAATTGTACATTTTTGCATTCAATATCCAAATAGTAATCAAATTAAATGTTTTAATAAATAAAAACATTATTCATTTGATTATTAATGACTGTAAACAGGACTCAATAAATACATAATGAATGGTGTAATCATTATATGTTATCCACAAACACACGAAATGGTAAAATGATTGTTAAGCCAAAGACACGAAACACTTTTTGTGACAAAAATTTCTTTATTCATTCAATAGATTTGTTTAACTCTTTGCCATTGAATATACGAAACGAATGTAATTTTA